AGGTAACACAGGTCTACTGTCACAGTGTATACAAATATAATCATACCACCCATCCCTAGCAGGCAAAAAGCACTTATAAAATAAAGGAATATCTTGGAGACATCTGATTTCCAACAAGTTTTCCAACAAGAAAAAGACAAAGCAGAGAGATTACATCGCCTGAAGATGCAGACAGAAGGCCACACACAAAGTGGTCTTGTTCATGACAGTGGTCATCACATGATGTTCAAGAGACTGTTCAGCATCAACACTCCCGGCTGGCTAGATCACACAGACTGCATCATATGACCCCGCCTCCACGGCTTCACCAGCCCAGACCTCCTCCTCGCAACGGTTCCCAAGTGCTCTCTGAAGACCCGCGCCAGGCCTGTGTTTATGTTTCGGGTCCTCTTCACTCACATCCCCCTCATAAAAACAATTATTGCTGGTTTGACCCCTGGGGTCAGAGATTCCTTTCTCATGAAATCCAGTGTGGCTGCTGAATTAGGGCCCCTTTCCTCAGCTGTTCCTGGAACAAGCTTCCATTTACGATGATATGCAATCATCGCCACGCTATGAAGTTAAAATGGGCGAGGACACTTAGAGATAAATTCAATTTATTGAGGGATGTGTTCAACTGATATGCAAGAAGAGAACTGCACCTATGAGGACTGCCTGTGACTTTATTATAGTTTAAGCATTGTTTCAACTGCCAAATAAACTAACACCAAGTTCCAAGAGATACACTGCGAGCCTTACTGCTCAATTCTGATTTATTGCATTGATTTATTTTTTTTGTACAGCTGCTCACTTTGTTGTTTTAAACGTGGCCAATATCAGATTCCAGTGCGAACAGATCACGGTCCTGAACTGACCCACATGTGCAAAAGAACGATAAAAAGACGTCACGCAGTACACTGTCATACGGAAGTAAACACGGATGACATTAAAGTAAGTGATTACGCGTTTATCTATAGTGTGATCCGCCGCGTAAGCCAGCGAATTTATGCGCAGGCAATAAATAAAAAAAAGACGAGGATGCGAAAAAGAGAGCAGAGTTTAGGGCTGGGCGATATGGCCAAAAAAATGTATCACGATATTTTTTTTTATATCAGTCGATATCGATAATTATCACGATAAATGTCAAATCTTTATTTCTTTCAAGTTTAAAGGCAGATTTTTGCTCCTAAGTGAAAGTTGTATAAACCAGAGCGTTGTGGTTTTAAAAATCTGAGGTAGAACATTCAAACATTTGTCATTTTTCCTTAACAAAATAAATATCTGAAAAGAAAAATATTTCTTCAGCAGTTTGCAGTGCAGGCTGCAATATTCAAATTACATGTTTTGTCTCGAAATGTATATTTGACAGTGAGTTGACAGTAAATCTACATCCTAACTCAAGCTAATGCTACTATGTTAAATTTATGTTCATTAACAAAAACAGTAACATCTGTTTGTTTGTTTTTTTAAATTTAAGGACCACATTTTTATTTTGTAAAATGTAATATTCTGACTGTTTAAGTTTTATTAAAATTAACCATTGGTCATCCAGTATCATGCATTTAGATCATGATAACCACAGATAAAACCAGGCATAGCCTATAGCACCTCACTATCATGGCAAAATGTAACTTTATGGTATCTATGGTATTTGTATGAAAAACAGTAGCCTAACAGTTAAATACATTAAATACTGTAATTATATTCCATTAGTCATTTAATACATTGTCTACATTAATACTATTATACAATTCAATATGTATATCCCACATTTCATGGTGCAGTTAATATTACTAGGCTAACCTTACAGTAAATCCATGGTAGGCTAAATGGATTCAGTATCAATTCAGATTCTGACTGTTTCGCTGCGTAGTGTTTCTCCTGTTTGTCAGCGGTGTTTCATCTGCCTTTAAACTGATTTAAACTGGACATTTGTGTTCTTCGCTGAACTTTAGCGCTTCTCACTGGATCTCGTGACCGAGGCCGATCAGAGTAAAAGCGTCTGCTCTAGTGAGCTTGCGCTGCCATTTGGACTTTGAGCCGAGCGGATAAACGGTCCGTGTGGCGCGCGGTTCAAATGAGTTTCGTTCCGCTTTTGGCGCATACACATTATCGAACATTTATCGACCTCTTGATATCGTTTTATCGAGAAAAAATATATCGCGATAATTATCGTTATCGTTGTATCGCCCAGCCCTAGCAGAGTTTGTAAACATTTATGAAGCGCTCGTGTTTTGCTTGTACATGTCGCTGTAATACTTGTGAGTTCTGACACATCACTGTCCTTCACAACGGTCTTGATAACATCGAGTATGTAACATCTTTGAAGTGACTCCAATGAGCGCAGAATTGTGATGAATGTTGCTCTAGACGAGTGACGTAAAAGTCGCATTAATTCCGATATGACTGTTTAGACTGAGGTCGCATTCAAAACATCGGATTTAATAACACATATGGAAGTGGCCCAAATCAGAATTGAAAAGATCAGATTTCATGTGGTTTGTGCCGTTCACACGGTCATGACAAAAACAGATTTGCAGTTGAAATCCAGTCATTCTAATAACACATGCAATCGGGGAGTTTTATGAATTTACCGCATTAACCAACAGAAAGCTTCTTGGTTTGAAATTGACTTCTGTGCGAGTAGTGCTTCGTACATCTTTACATTATTGACAATGGATTCCATTCGCACATGACATTTTTGCTAATGTGACCACACCTTCACAGCTATTGCTCTCTATAAATAGGACATTTACAGGTAAACAATACACAAAATCTTCTTGCATATCTGATTTCAATTTACGATACTTTCCCAAAGAACAGCACAAACATGACCTTCTTGTAGACTAAGAAAAAAGACCAGTCAACAAACGCGCCTCAGTTTTGTTTTGAAACGGTTTAATTTGTGTCTTTTGTGGAACACACACACACACACAAACATTTCAAGCCTATGTTTTCAATACATTGAAAGATGTATCCAAAAAAGCACAATCAAATAGACTTGTGCACAATAGTCCAAGTATTTTGAAGCCATAGGGTAGCTTTGTATGATAAACAGACACAAATTTAAGTGATTATTTGCACAAAATCTTTCCTTCTATCACGGTTCATAACACATTTCCAAATATTCAGGCTAGGCGCCATAATGCGACACGTAAAACCGATAGTGCTTGGCATAATACACAGTGTCTTCACTGGTATATTTGAAGACAAGCCCATGTGAAATGGGAAATGAGATCTGTGACAGAAGGGAAGATTATCAGTGAATAAAGAAGCCCACAAATCTTATGGACTAGATTAATGTTTCTTTTTGACATTTATTGAGATCAACAACCCTAGTCTCCATTTCATGGTATGGAAAAGTGCAACTTGGATATACTTTCAAATATATCTTTTGTTGTGTTCAACGAAAGAAACAGGTTCGAACTTCGGAATAATGAGGGCGAGTTAATTATGGCAAAACTGTAACTATTTGGGTGAACTAAAGAAATAAACCTACAGCTTTAACATTTCTAGACATATAGCATAATATAGCATTTGCCAAGCATTGCAACCAACAAATGTGTCCTAAAAGGTTCTTGACTTGTGCAACATTACTACAAGAGAGATTCACCAAAACTTCCTGACAATCTCAAGTGTTTACACAAAGAATCCTTGAAAACACTTCCCTAAATGCACTCTTACAAGCCATTTCTCAGGCAGAAAATGTAAATCCATTATTATATTTCTGCAGTATCAAATGTAATGCTAAACTGAGTGAAAATCTTGAGCACTATAATAACCGCTAGCACCTATAAATCCAAAGGTAGTGATGTTTATAAAGAAGTTATTAAATGGTTATGACTAGATTCAAAGGAAGTGCACAATCTGAATGTGAAAAATAGGCAGTGTTTTGTAATTTGTTTAATTTTTTTAGACACTCTCAGTGTCATAATCAAGGACAAGCCGGGTTTGACAATCACACTTAACTGTAACATCTCAAAGCAGTCAGTGAAAGTGACTTTATTAGAAGATCATATAGGATCCTAGCTAACAGTCAAAATTGACAATTCTTGTCTTTATGAAACATTACAGTTTTTGTTATAAAATCTCTGTGCACATATATAGTTTTTTTAATTCATATCCTTGTAATCTTGAATCAAAATAACTTCACCTCCCTCTTGCAGTGACTTCTCTGATGATGCGTTTACTGGCGTGAGGGCGGGATCAACCTGTCACTCACATGAGATCAACCAATAGCAAACCACAACCATCTAATCAATTCCAAATGGACAAAATCAAGCCCCGCCCTACTTTTATTCTTGTTCACGCAGCCATTTCACTAGGATGTACGTTACAATAGGGAAGAATAGACTATCGTAACATCTGTTTCATGACTTTAATGAAAAATGGAAAAAATGGTCCCAGTTTACATGGGGAATATGCATATTTTTACATTTTTGCATTGTTTACATGTTTTTACATGGTACTATATTTGAAAAATACCTGCATGTAATTACAGCTGTAATGAATCATCTACAATTACTCTTCCCTTACCCACCAAACCTGTCCCTAACCTTTACCATACCCCACTTCAATAGCAGCACAAGTGTTTGGAATACAACATCAACACAATAAGTACATTTTATATGTAGGCCCACAGTAGTTAAAGACACCTAATGTAAAGTGTGGCCCGAAAACATACTATAGTTTATTAACCATCATGTTGCTCTCAACCCAAAGATATGTTATCATGAACTGACAGCCGCGGTCACAATTGACTTTAATTGTATCTTTTTATATATACTTTAAAAGTGAATGCAACTCTCCTTTTGTGCTCCACATAAGAAAGTTATAAGAACATGGAGGACAGATTGGTCATTTATGGGTGAACTATCCCTTTAACCATGATGTCAGTCAGATCATGTCAGTCATTCATTTAATGGAAATGAATGGAAAAGATGAGTCCAGGAACACTAACGTTCTGCATTGAAACACAACCCGAGTGCGACTGATTCAAGTAAACACACACAAGCACTTACCGCTCTCCATCTCATTGCCCTTGTTCTTGGCGGTGGGCGCGTTGCCCATGATTGCAGGCCAGGTATAGCAGATCTAAATCGACTTTTCTTTACGCCAACTGTCTTCAGACTCCGTCCCCTTTATGATCATACGATTTCTGCGGCCGTTGCACTAGCTATGTCTGGTCATAACTCACTGGATCACAGTATGCTGTCAGATCACATAAAGTCTGGAGGTTGATAGTGGCTGGTTCGTTGGTTAGCTAGCTAGCGAGCGAGCGCTAGCTAGCTAACAGTAATTAGCTGTCCGATTGCTGTGCTTCGGGTTCGGTAATGTCTCTCAGTTGTTCTGGGTCGGGTCCAGTCCGTTGAAATAGTACTAAGAGCCCGTCTTCGTCTCCTTCTCTCGCTCCTCTTCCTCGCTCTGCTAACCCCCAGCGAGGCCCTCGACTTGAGCGACACAAGCCCTTGTTTTCACCGTCCGTGCGCGATTCCTGTCGCAGCACGCCCACTTCTCCGTACCTTTTCGGTAGCGTGAACGTTTGCTTGTTTATGTTGATAAAGCAATTCCGTCTTGTGCACTATGTAGTTCGCATAATTCGACAGTCAGACCCCCTCCATTAATCCTCTATCCACAGCTAGAGGGAACTCCTGCTTCAATGAGACCCGCCCCAACGCGATGCCTATTGGCCGCTATGCTTATGACGCGCTAGCAGAGTCAGAAGCTGATTGGACAAGAGGTCATCAATCCAGCGCAGGGAGAGCGATGATTGGCCAACTTATATCTATCTGTAGAATTTTATCCCACCCCCGCAAACTGACAAATAACGTCATCTATTTTCATTGTAATAACACAAGTTTCTCTGTTCGCTTTTCGTCTTTGTAAGCGGCTGCGGTATTTTGGTCTCTCAATACGGATTCGGTTTCATTCACAATCCTTTGATGATCCTCTGCGGTTGTGTTTGTTAGCGAAATGGCCGCGCAGACCCCTCCCGCTAGACTAATCCGTGATAGGCTGTATGACGTCAAGATGGTCTATTTTTAGAAAGTTGGTCAGAATTTGAGGCACGCGCGAACACCCTACGTCTATGGAATATTAAAACGAGGTCTGTCTTCTGCAAAACAACCACACTGAGGTCATTTACGCAGGTATTGCATTTCGGCAACAAATTTGCGCGATCAGTTGCAAGGAAGGGATTCGGCATGCAAGAGATGGAAACCTGTGCGTGCTTTAACGGGCATAGCAACTGCATTAATAACGCTGTGCAATAAAATAAAGGAGTAAACCCCATAAGGGGACACTGATATTATTGAACACCGATGAAAAAATGATACTTTGAGTAGGGATGCACAATATATCGGCCACCATATTATAGGTATCGGCTGATATATGATAATTTTTAATGTTATCACCCCGATAAGAAATTTTGGCCGATATATTAAAGCCGATCAATAATGTATTTCCTTCATGTTTGCCATGATGGTTTTAAATTGCTTGAAATATGATTGAAATCACTTCAAAAATGAAAATGCAGTTAAGTGCACCGCAAGTCTGTCATACAGACTACATAAAATTATGAGAAGATTATAATTCTGTGCTTGGGACATGGCTTTTAATGGTGAGACTTTTGTTTTTGTATTCAGGCTCTCAAAAATGATATATATATATAAAAAGGGATTTCTATTTATCGGCCAATATATCGGTTATCGACATTCAAATGTAAATTATTATCGGTTATCGATATTGACCAAAATGTACATATCAGTGCATCCCCAAACTCTGAGGTCTTGACACAGATGCTGCAATAATCCATGTTGCCAAGCAACAACAAGCAAGCTTCTGTCACTCCTGCATAATGCAACACAACAGCTTTTTTATGAATGAAAAGACTGCACAGTTGCATCCACTCTGAGCACATCACAAATCAAAGTAAAACGGCTTCAATGAGCATTGTCACGTATCAAAACATTTATTTCAAGGAGAACTGGCATACAAAAAGACAGATATATATATATTTATACACAATATAATACAGTCCCACCCACAAAAAAATCATCCAGAGTAGCTGCAACCTTTCACACAAGTATTGCTGATTGTGTCTGTTAAATGAATTATGCATCTGACATCTTATCAACTGAGCTGATCTTCCATGCCTTTCAGTTTGAGAATGGATCGGGTTTGGATCAAACGGCATTAGATGCAGCACATCCTAATACCTAAATCATGTCTCAGAGACATGACTCACCAGCTCTCCATTCAGGTTTCAAACGGAAAAGCAAGTATGTTTATTGCGTACCGGAGGATATTGTGCACAGTCACACCACTGATTTGTTTCAGGCGTGACAACTGTAACAAAATGAGATAACCCCCTCTGATGTGTTATTTCCCGCCTCTCCTCCACAGTGTCCAGATTGACCTGAGCTCATGGATGAGCCTTGAGATGTGAGGATTATTCACAGGAGCCTGCGTCACTACAAACAGTCCATTGAGTTGTCTGGCACCAGTCCCAGCGGAGGGGCTTTTCCTGGGGTGCAGGACGGCGGCAGCATGGCGTTAGGTGCGGGGTCCACGTTCTCCGAATCCTCCATTTTCTCAGCACATCCCTCCCAGTTGATGTGAAATCTGGTTACACGAGGATTGGAAGCCAGAATGTTCCTCTGAAGCTGAGAGAAAAGCACACGAAGAAAGGCACTTTAATTTGACCCGTTTCGAGTTTTGAGTTGACTGAAATGCCTGTTTTTTTTCCCCCTTGACATTGTGACTTTCTCAAACATACATGCAAAGTTTCAACACGCTGACGCTGATGTGTTTTGACATACACACACCTCATTTCTATTACGTTTTTGGGTTAATGTACAGCCCCAAAATAATAACTTTTCTGGTTATATTTTGTTATGTTGGTTTTTTACTAACCTGTGAAGGTAAAAAGCAGCTTTTCCCCACTTATTTCAATACTGAAAAATATTGTGTCAGCCACAGATAAAAATGAGCTATAATACATTTTTTCAAGCTGTCTGAAATACTATTAAACCTATGTTGTTTTTCTTGAAATGTTGTGACTTTCTCATTTAGGGTCCTGAACATGCATGCAAAGTTTCAACACGCTGATGTGTTGTGAAATCTGGATATAGGATTTTTATATGATCTTGAGCTGTTCAAAAGCAACTGTACAAACCCAAAATACAAAACATTTCTTTGCTGTATGTCAGAGCTCTTCAACTCTAGTCCTGAAGCGCCAGTCTCTTGCTGAGTTTAACAAACACATTTTTTCAAAGTTTGTGAAAATAGTTGTTTAACCCGTTAACTGTCTATCCTGCTTTTTGAGCATAGATTACATTTTACAAATATAATTTGTTATAAATCTTGAATATTTCGAACCACAGAGATACGTTTTGTGTCTTTTTAAAGGGGACACGTGGCAGATTATTGTAGAAGTAATTTAAGTAACATTTTATTTTTTATAGAAGTTTAAGTTTATAAAAATATTTTATATTTTACAAAAGATGTTCAACTAAAACTTTTTTTTTTAATCAAAGCCAAACATTTGAACAGTTGTGTGCCCAATTTTAGACGATATAAAAAAAAAAAATGTTTGTGCGCACTACCAAATCTTTCCACTAGATGACATCCAGGCTCCACTGGTGACCATATAAGGACACATCCATTTCCATATATGGTTTGAATCATATATTTTCATATATATATATATATATATATATATATATATATATTTTTTTTTTTTTTTAATGAAGTAGACATTAATCAGTAGTAATGTTAAGATTTTATTTGAATTCAACCTCAAAAACCCACATACACAAATAGGGAATCTATCACTATTTCTCTATTGCTCTGTCATTTCTTTTGAGAATTGAGTATTTAGCAATAAAAATAATAATAATTTGACAATTTTATTTGATTGAAATTCCAAATCACTGCTAGCTATGGTGACCCTAATATTAGAAATACTTTTTTGCTTTAACTTTATTAGCACCTGAACTATTACTGAAGTCTGATCGTTGTATGTTGTATATGACAAATTCAATTAACACTAAAGATGGCTGTTAACAAAACTATTAAAGACCTGATGAAACTTTACTAGTACAGGTGTTCTTTCCTGTGGTGTCGTACTTCCTATGAAACAGAAAAGATGAGGCAGGACATATAACCTGGGAAAACCCAGACAACTTCCGGCAAATTTAGATTTGCTCTGAAAGTTAGTATGGCAAAGAGCTCATTCAAGCCCATTTCCAACGTTGGGGCGGGCTTTACACGATGACGACAGCGCTGGGATTTTGAAGCAGATTTTGTAGCCTACATTACAAAGATGGATGCCGCCGTCGAACATCACTCGTTCGAATCTGCTATCGCGTCTGTTTTAAGCGATCTGAACGTTTCCTTTTTGTTAAAACCGAGCAAAGAACAACACTCGGAGATGTATCTCCGCCGCTCTGCATACGTCATCTCCTTCATCGCTCTGATTGGGTTTAGGTCTATCCGCGACGTCCGTTGGTGACGCCCCTCTGGAAATGATTTGTCTATGACGCTTTGCCAGACCATAACTCAGTTACAACTGAGAATGGTCTGGTTTTAACCAGGCTACAGGACATATTGAAGGGCTCAACAATTTTAAAACAGTGAAAAAAGTGACAGCCATAAATTAAGGTTTGCTACTTGGATATTGCTAGTCCAAGACAGACTTCTTCCCTTTTGTGACGTACATCCAAGCGAAACTGCTAAACAAACAAAATAAAAAAAGAAGGACAGGACTTCATTTTGTCCATTAGGAATTGATTGGATCGTAGAAAAGTGGGCATTGTAAACTAAACAGAGGCAGATCTGAAAATTTAACCTTACTTAAATTACAAGGGCACACGAATAAAAAACAAAAAAGGATGTGCACACAGGAATCATTTAAATACTTGTCCATTTTTATTTTTAATTTGTCCATTTTTATTTTATGGTGACTTTAGGGGGAGGACATTGTTCTTCTAGAGAGCACTTCATTGGAAAACAATTTGTATTAAACATGTGAGTGCAAGATGAGTCAACAATATTTTTCTCAATTTGTTTCTCCAAAAGAAAAACTGTACATTTTCTATAGACAGATATAGAACACGCATGGACTGAAAGCTGCAAAACTGCAGTTTTAATTTCACAGGGTCTGTAAGAAATGAATCTCTCACCTGTCCATAGTTGGGTTTAATGGGCGGGTTCTCACGAAGCTCCGCGTCCGTATACTCATTGTTAACATAGTAGCCGATGCGTATGAACTCCTGTCCTCTGTATGTGCATGTGATCAGAGCAACAGTAACACCCACAGCATCACTCTCAGGTATGAGGGCAGGGTTTGGAGCTTCTGCCTGTTGCAAAAAAAAAGACAAATATTACTTAGAACAATAGCATGACTCAAACTGGGTGTGTAACTACAGGATAAGTGCACTAATTGTCTTTTCATGTGTACTTTTTATAATAGAGAACAACATTACATGAACAGTTTACCCATTAAAACACCTCTCATGTAGTTTCAAATACACAACACAAAAAACTCTGTGTTCCAGTGAAGAAAGTTACGACATGAGAGTGAGTAAAAGAGTGAATTTCCATTTAAAATTAAATGAGGCATTCAAATAACGCTTTACTATGTACTACTGTACACCCAAATAGGCCGCTGTACGTGAGCTGTATCGTTCAGTTTCGTTCCGACAAACGGGGCACTACATTTTCTTTTGCTCAATATGTTCAACGTTAATAAAAGGTATCCAAGCAAAAAGTTCTCCACGCATTATCCTGCAGTTAATGAGAAAAGTGTAATTTATTGGCGCACTATATTGACTGCGTATTGAGACATATAAAACTGTTTAGCTAGATTTTCAACCAATCAGCATCGAAAATGTAAGTAGGTCACAGCCAAAATCAAGCTAATATCACTACGCACATGTAAACATTGAGGAGGACGTAAGCAGCGCATCTTCATCTGATGGCGGCGATCAAGCTCGATTAACACCCGTAAAGTGTATTCTTCATGTCGGAAAAGATGGCGGGAAGGTTTACTGCAGCCCTTTACTGAACTCCGATGGGAACAAATCAAGCAATGTGCGAAGGAATGGCTCAAAACGTCGGACACTACGGAGCTAGCTATCCCATGCTGCAGGTAAGTTACATAACATATCAATATTTGTTCATTATCTTTGGGTGATGCTAATTTACAAACTTCCCGATCAGAATCCCGATAAAAACATCGACACGATGAGAGACGTTGTCCTCCGTTGCTTGATCTGTTATCTGGGTGAAAAATAGGATAACCTCATCCATGAGTACAATGTAAGTGACAAGAATTATTCTATATATTTATGGTGTTTTGAGAAATGTATTTGTACATCGTTTTTATTTATAAAAATAGAAATGCAACTTAAACAATAATCTTTTTTCTAATTAAATTATATAAAGCTAATGTGAAAATATTTAACACAAAATAGATTTTTGTCAGCCACTTATATGAAAAAAGGTAACACTTTATTTTGATGGTCCACTTTAGACATTCTACTGACTATAAGTAACTGCAACTACATGTTAACTTACTCTATTAACCCTAACCTAGCAGTCTACTAATACTCTGTGTTAGTTGACATGTTACTATACAGTTAGTAGAATGTCTATAGAGGACCAGCGAAATTTAATTTCCCCCTCTACAATAGTGTCACCAAATGTAATTTTACATTTATTTAATTTTTTCTTCCTGAATACACCCTCTGTCATTGGTGAAACTGTACTTATGTTATTGTGACAGTCTTTGTGGTCCGCAAAGTGGTGGTCTTTGTGGTTTCAGTGATTACAAAGAAAATAAACTATAATGGTGTCTTAGCATTTTAAGCTGTTATAAGAAATTTTTACAACCGTACACAAATCAAGTTTATAATTATGGACAGACTTATGAGACAGACGAGATAAAAATACTTCTTTAATGTTTGTTTTACAGTGTGACAATGGAGATATCCTGTAGCACATAATGAAAATTGCCATCTCCAAGAGGGATTCTCAGGAGGATTTCAGCATCATCTTAGAGGGGATGCAAGTCATGGCTGGCTTGGAAAATCTGGCAAGAGCCTGTGCTGTTCTTCTTGGACTCACGTATGCACTAAACCTCACCTACCCGAAAGAACTGAGGCACACTTTTGAGGCCTTTCAGAAGCTCTTCTTCGAACTGGATGTTTGCAAGTTTTCCCCGAAATTACTAACACTTAAAAACAAACTCATGACTTAGATTGAGACAATGCATTATGACCAAGTTCTGGTGGAAAAAAAACTGCATTGATTGATGAACGTTTAATATTGTTCTACAAGCTTTCAGCAAGTACAAATGATTTGTTTTGCTACAAGTTATTCACAAGTTTTAGTCAAGAATGTGACTTTTCCAACAGAAATTTGTATGCACATGTTTTTGTGTAACAAAATTATTTTTCTCAATGACATGGAAAATGTTTGTTTTTTTGCTTTTATTTTTCATATCTTAAAACTGCTGTCTTACATTTTATATAGATTTGTTTTATTTGTGCAAAAAAATACAGAATAAAAGCATGTTTGATTACAAAAAGTGCATTATGAAGTCATTATTATCTTAACCTGAAAAATGCAGTAAATGTTATAATTAAGTCAATTTCATTAATACAAACGAGTAAATTCTGCTTAATTTATTATTGAGACAACTTATATTAAAAAAGCACATTCCTCACTAATAATATTAAATGCATCATGTGCCATAGACTAAATAATTTAGGAAATTTTACTTAATTTATTTGGGTAGATTTCACACAAAAAAAAACCTCAAAATCTACTCAAATATAATACGTGTAATATTGTTACCATAATTGTTTTAAGTATAGCATGTAAAAAATGTGTACATGCAGTGCAGTTACTGCTCGTGTATGCGAATTGACAATTCACCATTAAATGCGTTATTTTGAAAAGTGTTTTTTTAATATATATATAGCCTATATATATATATATATATATATATATATATATATATATATTATATTTTGGCTGAATTCTATTTGTAATTCAGATTTTACCTCAAATATTACCTTTGAATTGGAACAACATAATGAGAAGTAATTGGGATGTTAATGCTACAGTAGAAGTTTTCTTGATAATCTTATGTTTACTGTGCCTAGATTGCAACTTCAGGTATATCACATATTTTAAACTGGTTTATTTTTTACCTCAAGTGGTAATTCAGCATTTTTGGGTTTATATGATAAACCGGTTTGAAAGTGCAAAATTCCCTATGTTTTCCCTTTATTTCAAAATGGGCACCTTTAGCATCATTTTTCTCAAAAACTGCAAGGTTGTGTGCGGAGAACTTTTTCCTAAGGAATCTCTATATATTTCTGATGTTAAATATAAAAAAAGTAGGTAGTGCCCCACGTGGTGGAACGAAACCCTATTTCTAGGCCTCTTTTAGGCTACCGACAGCGGCCTAAAAGCGCTACATAATCATTTCAGAGGATCTCTCCTGAACCACCGTAAAGGAGTTTGATGTAAAGGAACCGTATTTGATGTAAAGGAACTAGCGGCGACGAAAGCTGTGTTGTCGCCTTGCGTCGGCTGCGTCTCAGACAAAAGCTGCGCTTGAACACACCAAAAGGACTAAAGGAGACTGTCAACTAGCATGTGCATTCAGTGCCTGAGTGTAAGGAAATTCAAACAGGGAAACCGCATACAAACCATATACAAAACATTAAAGCAGCGCTTGTTTAGCATTTTGAATGCTGATCACTTTCTTCATTCCAGGCGGCTCATGTTATGAAACAATTCACGTATTGGAAAGCTAAGATGACATAAAATTTAGAACAGCCTTCTGCCTGTGCCGTCTTGACTTTGTTGTACGCTTTCATCACTTTCGCTTTTCACTTTCGACCTCGACGGACCTTAGGTGTGTGTCAAGTAGGGCTGGGGTAAACGATTATTAATTAAACGATTAGTCTGTCGATTATTTTATCGATTAGTCGACTAATCTAACGACTAATTGAACGATTCTTTTTTGTAACATGGAAATTGCAGGAGTGCACATTCAATGCACAACAATTTTGATCTGGTTCTTACAGAGTATCTACACTGTAAAATGTTTGGTAGAGCCCTATCACACTTGGATGTGGTGCTCATTTTAATGTTTTCAGTGCTCATAAAAAACATCCGGACTGATTTTTCGGTTTTGTTGACGGGGGTGGGGTTTACATGCGCTTCATAAGGCACACACGCACATTTGCACACACACGCGCAAGGTCTCTCGCTCTCTCCCTCGCTGCGCGCGCTACACGGTTTGGAGCTCGCGAGCTCTAGATTCCGGGAGATTTTAACTAATTTGCGGTCATCAGGGAGGGTCTATCACTATGCGGGAGACTTGGGATGTCAACTCCATTTGACAAAGAGCGCAAATAACGACACCTTTACGTTTGGGACTAAATTTGAAGTATTCCCATACCTTCGATGATTTAGTGCGAGCTGGGTTTTTTTAGGACTTTTTCTTTTGTTGGGACTTTTGCATGGCTTTGTTGTGAATTCTGTGAAGAGGTTGCTGTTTCGTCCTCGATTCTGCAATGTTTCGGTCTCCCACGTGTGTGTGGCGAGCTGTACCGCCGGGAACGGTGCAAAAAAATAAATACATAAATAAATAAAGAAGCGTCGACAAAAAAATATGACGTCGACGAATTTTTGACGTCGAAGCGTCGACGTCATCGACGCGCCGCTACAGGCCTAGTGTCAAGCAGTGGCATGTGTGTTAAATATGTTAAAGGGGTCATATGGTGGGATTTATTGTTTTCCTTTTTCTTTAGTGTGTTATGTAGCTGTTAGTGCAAGTATAAGATCTGCAGAGTTACATAGCTCAAAGTGTCAAACCTAAAGAGATATTCTTTATAAAAGTTAAGGCTAAGCCACGTCTTCCAAAAACACGCCCCCACAAATCTACATGTACGTCAGTGTTGTGGGGGCAGTTTCATAACACCGCCCAAATGTATACGCAAAGAAAGGCGGCGTAACTTTTTTTCTTGCTGTGTTATTGTTGCTGCCATGTCTGGAGACGCTGTTTTATTCGTTGCGAAAGCCAAATTACTTTGTTTGGCCTTCCTAAAGAGGACACAATTAGAAAACAGTGGGGCAATTCCATCTTTGCATGTACATATTGGTGCTTCTGACTCACACAGCCTGTAAGTATGTTTTCATATTTTAAGAATTTTCTGACTATTCAAACGCGAATTTTGAGCAGTATAGAGTAGCGCTTGCTTGTCGTTTCTACGTTCACAAATGCAGACATGGTTTTATGTTTACATAGTGTTGTTCTCACACCCGTAGCACGGTGTGG